AGACGATAGGCCCGGGAACCTTCTTCCTGCGGGCCTGCAGCAACTCTCCCTCGCGACCCCTTGCGTGAGGTGGAGGAGACTAGCGATCTTGGTCCACGACACTCTTCTCTGTCCCACTTTTGGGAGGCCCAAACTCCCCTTCAATCACACTCTCTCACACCCCCGCCCCCCACTGATTTGGTTTGGACTGGACTGGACTGAACTAGACTAGACTATGGATTACTCTTTCAGTATCAGAGGTACGGGAGGAGGAGAAAAAAAAAAGAAGGTGAGAAAGTAGAAGCTTCCCATTGTTGGAGACAAGGCCTTGTCTGCCTTCTTTCTTTTTCTGTCGCTCATCACCCCCGGCCCGAGGAGAGTATTACGAGTACTACAACTTTACTTTACACCAAGCCTACTTACTATCTCCTAGTAAGGTGTTACGGTGAGAAACTACGGGGAGGTGGGAGATATTTTTTTTTTTTTGTGTTGACAGGTTGGGGAGTCCCGGATCGAGTAGGACGGCCGATGAGGGGATTCTGGGTTTCATTTTGTTGGACAAGTCGCTTTTTATTTCCGACCGTTAAGCGCGTCTAGTTCAGGACTACTCCTGTGTAGCCATCCGTTGATGGTTGTCCATTCATCATCCATGGTATGGACATTGGAGATGGATGTTTTGGCTAGTTTGGATCCAGGATTGAACAGCGTATCCAGAAACATCCAATGATGAGCTAGTTACCTGGTAGTGTGTGTGCCATGGATGTCAGGCATGACAGGGTGCAGCAAGCAAGCAACCTTGAAACCTGGGGAGCTTGCTTCTTTCCCTCCCGGTCTTTGCCTCTTAGCTCTTACGCCATACAAGATTGATGAGCATTTGGAAGGTCTGACTGACTGACTTGACTGACCGACTGCTGCTACCAAGCAGCGCCCCCCGCCTGTCATGTCCCTGCCACATGTCCAACCGACCGACAGAGTTGAGAAGCACGACTACTGTAAGTTGAATATGCAAGTGTATTGGCTGTTGAAGGTAAGACCGAATGCACATCTATCTGGCATTCAACACTCTCACAAGCACCATGCACCAGGCGGTCTGTGTTGAGCGCCATAAAAAAAAACCAGACTAGTCATCTGGTGGGTGTGTCAGTGCGATAGTTATCCACACCTGGTTGACAGTTCCGTGAGTGAGTAACTACACAAAGTGAGATTGAAAGAAGTACATCAGCGTCACTACGGACAAGACGAGCAACACTGTCCCTCCGAGCTTGTGCCGGGACATCAATGATCGACCAGGGTGAATGACCGTCGGAGTTAGTCTCAGTGTGCTACCAGCCGGGGATCGCTCAGGGCCGTGCAGTCTAAGATGAGGATCAACCCAGTCTTTTACTCTTTTATGTTTACCTGGTAATTTTTGAAATGCTTTTCTTCTTAACAAGTTCACTTTGCTTTGCTTTTCTTCCCTCCTTTTCTGTCCAGGTCTCAATTCTATTTTCTGATTTTTTTTTTCTAGTTTAGTTTTTCCTGTGTATCCTCTCTTTCTGACCGGAAAATAGGAAACTAAGACCGGCTCATCCACCCCATGTGCACATCATTACGGGGCCCAGAGAGAGAGAGAGAGAGAGAGAGAGAGAGTGTGTGTGTGTGTGTGTGTGTGTGTGTGTGATCCTTCAAAGCCAGACACCAGGCCATACTGCTGGATCTATCTAGTCATTCTTGGAAGTCCGCTACCGACGGCCCGACACCCGCAGCCGTCGTACATACAGCAGATCTTGCGGGGCTGTAGCTCATCCTGACGGAGTATACACCAGGGTAGACGGCAAAGATGGTTGGCCCCGACGGAGTTATTCACCTTGAGTTGAATATGGCCAGGGTCATGGATCCAATCGGGAGGTCATTCAAACTTGCACCGCAGCTATCGCCGACCAGCGCCATCCTGCTACAACGCAGCCCTGGGCATCCTGGGCAACCCTTTTGCTTGGAGCAGGAACCCAGTGGCGCTAGCCCTGGCGCTGCAGAGCATGCAGAGTTCTACGCCCATAGGTACTTCCGTGCCATAGCATCCTGGCTAGTGTTGTTTCTCCTCTCCAATTTCGCGGACAGTCAGACTGAACTAGACTAAACTTGAGAGACACTACTACACTAACTAGACTACTGCTGCTGCTGCTAATCCACTCTACAAAGTACTCAAACTAGCACGCTATATTTTTCTCTTTCCCTGGGCTGGAAATTCCCAAATGGCCCGAGGATGCCAATTGACAAATGACAAGTCGTGGAATCTCCACCTCACAGGAGTTGGCCTAGAGTTGGCGCCGGAGTGAACCGCGGAGAGAGCAGAGCTCAGGATTTCAACGAGTTGAAGGGCCCGTCCGGGTCACGCTAGACTCAACAGCGTAAATGCACGGAGATCAACTCGATCCGTCTTGTCTTTCGCTTCCCCTCTTTTTTTGCCTCCTTCTCTCTATCATCCTCTGTCTTTCCTTTAATTAATCTATCGACAATTCGACACATCCCCGTCATTATGTGGTACCATTATTTTTTCTACCAATTGTAATCATGTGTATGTTTCGTCGGAGCAGTGTGAGCCTCGGACGAGACTTGTCCATGAACCAACCCCTCCACTTGTTGATTGATCATGGGAGAGACAATTAAATCCAAAGCAGGATAGGAATTACTCCGGTCCTGACTGTGGGGCCCGCCTTCTCTTGTACCGCCAATGCGTGGATAACCTCCTCTCAGGTCGCTTATGACTGAGATCGCTATCGGTCCGGTGCTCGACGGACGGCCTTGGACTTTCCTACTAACCAACCGTCTCCCTCTGTTCCCCTCTCTTTCCCCCCCAATGTCTCATTTCCACTCTCCAGTGTTATGAGACCCCGTCTAGACTACTAGCGACTACTCACCTGTCAGGTTTCCGGCGGTACCTGCAGCTGCCATGCACGCCCCAAGGAAGGACCGCTTCCCAAGTCACTGCGCCGGCGAACTGCTTCATTCTTCAGCAGTCGATAACCTGCAGCCGCCAGGATGGTAGTACCGAGGCAGCGTGCACTGGGCATGGCGCAGATGTTAGTTAGGTAGCCGGTCTGTCGCCTTACTACTTGCACCTTAGCAGGGCGCTAGTTTGCTCCGATGGTGGTCAACAGACACTAAAGCAGACTCCTCCACTCCCTTCAGTGGTTTTTTTCCTTCTCTGCCTCAGCACGCCGTACTATCTAAAAACACTAACTATTGCGCCCCCCTTGATGGCCCCTGTTATTCCTTAGGACCTAGTTGTCTAGCTGCTCCCGCGGATGCTGAATCTCCGGATAATGGACGAGGATTACATTGCGCCCCCCGTTCCTTCCCCCCCCCCCCTGCTGTGCAACGTTGGCCACGGGAATAACCGGTCGAGGACAATTTCTAGGCTAGTGAGTAGCTTGACGCCCCCCGAACAAAGGGAGATAAATCTACGGGAAGGGGGTATTTGCCATTCTAGAAGACAATTACACATTTGGCAGAAAGCAAATAATTCCGTGCTGATCGATTCTACTTCTCCGGCCGGAATGTGATATGGCCCCCAACTCCTGGGTCTTGTGCAACCGTCAGCACGAGCGATCTCAACACATCCATCTATCCATGCCTCTCTGGTCGATGATGACCGGTCTCCCAACTAGGGAAAGGAAATGCGCGCCTCGATTGGCTGTGTCCCCCTCAACTGTTCAGCGACGACCCGAAAAAACCACACTAAATCAGCTTCAAACCACCCCCGGTCGTCTCTCCAGCACGCCAACCACAGCCGAATTCAGCCCGAGCCCGTCGCTTTTCTCCGGACAGATTCGGGCGGAGTCGATTGGACGGGCGCGTGCGGAGGGGAAATTCGACGTGAAATCACTGTCTCCAGCACGGCGGCCACGACCGCTAGTTGGTTTCCCCATCCCATCCTTCTCTCCTTTTCCGGAGCGTTATTGGTGCCGTAAGAAAGGGCCAGGAATGAGTTTAGAGGCATCTCATCTCACGGTAGCGAGACGGGACGGACAGTGGGCAGAGGGCAACGTGAGTGGTCAGGACTGCTGCACGCAGTAAATAACCTTACATTGCATGTTCCGTTGTTACCCGTGCACGATCGACTGCGCAGGTGGATAGCCAGTGCACTAAGCTTTGAACGATCCTACTCACTCCCCTCTGGACATCCACGGCTGTGGATTACTTTCATCTATTCCTCCTCCTTTTTCGCGATGACCAATTTGAAAAGGGCTGCTGCCTAGACAGAGACTTTAGCGGTCAAGATAACGCTGACGGATTGCTGCAACCTTAAACAATCCGGATATTGTTTCAGTGGGATAATGCGACCGGCCAGTGAAGAACCGGATTGTTGGTGGCTGATGTCACGATTCAGAGTCTCCATTTTTAGAGAAGGAAAAGTGACCGGAAAGAGAAGAGAATATCATCGTAGTATGGCAATAGTGGGATTTCCATTTCTTTTTCCTTTTATTCTCCCTTCTATTCCTGAATTAAATAATTCTACTTCTCTAATACGGGGCAGTCAGTGAACAATTCCATCCATGATAAGTAGATGACCTTCCAGATCGGGGAACCCGGCCTTTGCAGGACGATGAGATGAATGGATGGATGGAATACAGTAAAACCGGCAACACAAGGAAATTGGAGGGAAGGAAGGAAGACCAAACGGGCCACGATGATCAGCGCCAAGCGACACGGACCCTCGTCGCCCGATTGTCTGAGGCGAGATTCTCGACTTGAGGGGTTGTGCTGGTCATGATTGGGTAGTGAATCTGGTTAGTGGGTGAGTAGTTGGTGAGGAGGTGGGAAGACGTGGGAGGGGAGGGGAGAGGGGGGGGCGCACCGACTGGCGGTGGAGGCGACCACGTATCTTTGCACATCCAGATTAATCTGGCAAAAAGTGAGTTGGCAAAAAAAGAATAATGAACGTGATGATGGCAGAAACGGGAAAATTGAACTCACACTCTCCCACACACGGCAGACCAGGCAGGTAGGCAGACAGACAGACAGACAGACAGACCGCTAAACTACTAACTAGTAATGAAAGTACCACTACTTAGACTATCCTTGCGTTGGGATGGCGTTGTTTGGTTTCAGCAGCAACAACCCGTGATGCATACTTACATACATAGTTACATATATTACCATTTGCCAGTTATATCTGCCTATGGTACTAGTGATAGGATACATAAAGTAGAAATAGATATACAGATGATATAACGTATGTACATAAAATGATGAGGAGTCTGTCGATCGCTGCACGAGTGAGAAATAGATAGTAACCCCCAACCACCATCAAGTAAAGTAGTAGGGCTTGAACTAAACTAGTAAGTAGGTTCATGAAAAGTTTCCTAACATAGTAATGCAGAGTGCAGCAGCAGCAGCAGCAGCAACAACGTACATACATATATCCAGAAAATACAGATCGAGATACATACATAACATTGAACTGAAAATCGATGACGATGATGACGATGGTGACCCTACATCAGCTGACAGATGATATGTACGATAGTTTATTACTTGAATATAATCCCTTTTTTTTTTTTTAGAAAATAATCTCTTTTATCGAGTCAGTCATTATGTTGGTTAACGTTTATCCCTTGATTCATTTCCATTAGCCACTCAATCACTCACTCACTCACACTCTTTACCGTTATTTTATTTCTTCTTATAGCTTTTGAGTTCAATCCTTACCCCCCACCCCCTCCCTTTTTCCTTAATACAGTATTCCCTATTACTACTTGCATACATCCACATATACATACATACATACATACATATACTCATACATGATCCTACATACTTGAAATAAGAATGCTGGGCAAACACAGAGGGCTAGAACAAGGCTACACAAACCCGTGCAGGATGCATCATCCCAACTTATTTTTTTTCCCAACCAAGGATATAATATTACACAAAAAGTGGGTTGGTCGTCAGCCAGCCAGCCACGATGAGCTCATCTATCTTTTCTCTTCGTTTCTTCACCGTCTTTCCGTGGAGGGAGGGGGGAAAAAAGAGGAGGTTGGAATGTGAGTGAGTGGTATGATCTCTGATCTATGATCTATGATCTACTAGCTCTGATGATATTGTGCGAGGGACTCGTTGCTATGCTTCTAGTATACTACGTATCTCATATATTCAGAAATATATTTTTCATGATGGTATAGATGGTACACTTATGTAGAGTGTAGTGTAGTGTAGTGTATGCATAGCATAGCATAACTACTGTATGTCAAGTATGTGCTTATGTAGGATTTATGTACACCTAGTGTGGTAGATGTAATTTCAAGTTATTGTGTGCAATTGAAGCATATGGAATTTACTACCATACCACGGATGGATCATGCTATGTCAGGCAAGGCGAGGTGAGGTGAGCTAAATTAACTTAATTCTTTGTAGTGGTGTAGTTTGCTTTGCTGTTGTTGCTGGCAGTGATACTACTATCTATGATATCTCTACTGTTAGCAATAGTAGTAGTAGTAGTAGTAGTAGTAGATATTGTTGTTGTAGAATAGTGTTCTCCCACACTGGATATATATATAATGTACTATCATAGTAGAATCAGTGTATATCACTGCAATAATGGTGGTAACTAACATCTACACTACCACCACCATACCATAAACCCCAATTAACTACTACTACTTTTAACTAACACCCACCTCATCCAAATAGAAGAGCCCTTACATACTCACCAAAAATAATACCACATCAAATACCCTGCAACACCTTCCTCCACCCCATTTCACCGATAAGATAAAACACACCCGATAACCCACATCACATGACCGATAAGAAACTCTGGTATCCCCCCTCCAACCACCAAACAAAACACACACACACACACACACCAACACAACTCTCTCCACAGAAAAGATACTACTCTGCAATGCCACCGCCACCTCCCTCCAAACCTCCCCCCCTCCCCACAAACCACCTCACCTTCGACACCTGGAACTCCTCCTCGACAGGCCACCAAATCGCCGACCCCGGATCCTCCCGCGGAATCACCTCATGGCGCGAGACTCGACGAGAGAAACTCACCAGACAGTTTGGGGTGGGCAGGGGGGATTGTACATATGACAGTGATGGGGAGAAGAAAGGGGAGTGGGTTGTGACCACCCAGATACCTGCAGAATTGCAGAAGAAGAAGGAGAATGGAAGAAGAAATCAGCAGAGGGATATACGGAGTATGTTTGGAGTGTCGAAACCAATTCCTCATTCTACTACTGGGATATCTTCATCATCATTGAAGAGAGATGCTACGTCATTGGATAATCATGAACAGGAGGAGAAGGAGAAGAGGATAAGAATTGATCATCAAGACATTAATGGGAATAAAATAACAGACACAGACACATACACAGAATCAATATCAAGGAGAGAAATTAATGCATCTACATCTACATCTACCATCTTCTCCTCCCTAAGCATCCACATAAACGGCCAAACAACACCCACCGTCTCAGACCACAAACTCAAACATCTTCTCATCTCGCACGGCGCAAATCTCTCGCTTCATATGCATCGTGGAGTTACGCATGTTATTCTGGGGGAACCTAATACTCCTCCTTCTTCTTCTTCAATAAATTCAGGAATAAAGGTAGCAGGGGCAGGGGGTGGGTTAGCAGCTGAAAAGTTACAAAAGGAGATACAGAGGGGTGGGTGGAAGGGGGTTAAGTTGGTGAGGGTTCAGTGGTATGTCCTCCTTTCCCCTCTTTCTTCTTTCTTTTCTACTCGGGTTGTTGAATCGGATGTGCTAATTGTTGTAGGGCTATGGATAGTATTGCAGTAGGGAAACGTCTCTCCGAGGCGAAATATGCTGCTCAGTTGAGAACGAACCAGAGGAGTGTGCTTGCATTTACGACGTCGTCTACAGCTACATCAAATACCATTTCATCAGTTTCATAACATTATCTATCTATCATACTATATACATTAATATCATCCTGTTCATATCATATCTTCGTATCTCATATCATACATCCCAAAATATGTCCAATCAATATCGTTAGATGAATGCTCCTCGTCTCCCGGGCAGTTGCACACTGCCTCCACTACTCGCCGATCCATGTCTGCGCCAGCCCATACTCCGTCCGCTCGACGACAGCGTCCCCGCGCTACTATGCGATCCGCGCCGGCCCATATCCACCGGCGCATACGGATCCTCAAGCGGCTCTTCGTCCGGAAGCGGTGGAAGCGGGTTGACGCGCAGCCGGGCGGGGTATAGCTCCGGCGAATGCATTAACCCGGAAGGCAATCGGCCGGGTCCGTCGTCGAATGTACCATCGTGTGAGTCGAATCGGTCGAGCTTCTCGTCCACATCGTCGTCCGGTGCTGTCTCGCCGCGGGAGTCGCCGCGCACGAGGCCGAGGCGTTCTTCTTCGGTGACGGACTGCGCCCGGTGGCGAGGCGGTCGGGGAGGAATGCTGCTTCGCGATGCAGTTGCTTCGTGGCCTGTTTTCATGCGGTGGAGCATGGTGTTGAATGAGAATTGGCGTCGAGCGCCGCCGTGGGGTGGCGGGGAGGGGGCCCCGCGCTCTTCTCCCCATGGCGTGTGGCTGCGCGAGTCGTCTGCGATGGACTGCGGGTAGCGGGTGTCGGGATGCGGTTTGTGGGCAGACAAAGCCGTCATGGTAACAGGGTCCGGCGTGGCATGTTCATCTTGAATGGGCTGCCAGGCGGGATGGAAGAGGCTCGAGGCGCGGGATCGCAGGTCGTCGAGGAAGGAATGGCTGCTCTGCTTCGTGTCGGGTCGCTCAGGCTCGTCTGGTCGCTCTTCCGGTACGTGCGACATGCCCAGTGGCGGAACGGGATACTTGACCGAGGGGTTGCGAAGGGTTCGCGTGCGTCCCAGGGTGGTTGGACCTTCGCCGAGGACGGTCTTGCGCCGGCGCAGCCCGTCCCATTCAATCACCTCATTCTCCGCTGGGGGCTTCATGTCCTCCGCGCGGTCGTGGAAGTAGCGCCGGGCTTCCTCGGCTTCCATCTGGCGACGTGGGGTAGAGAGGCGACGAATGATGGCGGCAGTGGCGCGAATGGAGTCGGCCTTGGGCTCGAATTCAGGCTCTTCTTGCGTGGCGACCTCGCGCACCTGGTCGAGATCACCCTTGAAGACAGCGGCATCGGGAACGTCTTTGGCGGACTTGGACAGCTGCAGCAGCACGACCCCGGCGCAAATTTGCAGAAAGCCTAGGATGACCGTGACGATGGAGGAGACGGAGCCCTTGAAGCCGCGGAACAACACGGCGGAGGTGACAATGGTGGAGCTGGTGAAGAAGACATAGTAGGTGGGGGTGACCAGCGCAGCGTTGAAGATGTTGAGGGCTTTCTGCTAGGCATTAGTATGACCGACCCAAATAAAACTCGGAAATCAAAAACAACAAGGGTAGGGGAGGAACGCACATTGAGATAGATAATCTCAGTCAACAGCGTCGCAATAACAAACACCAGCAAGACATACATAAACCACTGGTTGAATTGCGCCTCGCCATTTATCTGAGCCAGGATAGCAGACCCCAGACCCTGCGTTGCCACGACACTCAACCCTCCAATCAACGAGCAAATGCTGATATACACAAACATGCTCTTCTTGCCATATTTAGGCCCCAACCAAACCGCTGTGACGATACACCCCACGATAATCACTCCAGCATAGGACAAAAACCCCGGAGCAATGACATAGCTCTTCATTTCCTGGATATCACTCACCGACGACTGCTCCGGCGCATTCAACGCAATAACCACACTGCCCAAGATGCAGCAAAAACAGCCTACTTTCCCAACAAAACTCAGCCTCTCCTTCAGGAAGATCGCCGACAAAATGGTGGTCACCACGACCGTCAGTGCGCCCAGCGGCGTCACGAGGATAGCGTCGACAAAAGCATAGGCAACAAAGTTGCACAGCTCCCCGATGATCATCAGGGTCATGCCGCCCCACCAGAAGAGGTTCTTCAGGTATCCGTACCCTTCGCCGGCTTCTTCATTGTACTTGACGTTGGCGCGGAGGAGACCTTTCTTCTTGAGTACGAAGGAGACACCGATGAAGAAGCCCGAGGCAATGGCGAGAGAGATACCGATGGCTTTGTAGGAGGCTGGACGGGAGGAACTGTCGGCGCGGGCGGCGAGGAGGTTCACAGGATGTAGTGGATTATCGGAGTCCATGATGGGTAGCTTGGCTGCATCGGGGACACTGCCTGCAGTGTCTTGAATCTTACTCACTCACAGTCTCACTCTCTCGTGTCGATGCTGTGCTGACAGGTGGGAGAGAGGAAGAAGGTGTCGTATGTGAGATCGGACGCGAAGGATAATAGGGGGGAGGAGCGATAAGCGAGAATGAGATATAATTAGTCGGGGCCTGGCGCTAGACAGCCATGGATGAATGGTTGAGGCGCTGCAGGGGCGAAATAGATAGACTGTTGAATGATTGGATTGGGCTGCTTTTCCACGAGGTCAGACTGACAGCGGATCGAGGAATGCAAAAAAGGCGTGCGATCGACAGGTCCGTGGGATCGGAATGTGCCAGATCGATACTGATCGAGATCTGATGCTGCGAGGGTGTGAGGGGAAGGTACGTAAATTGATCTTAGTAGAAAACAAGGGGGGGAGAAAGTGCAGAAAAGCAAGACAGCAGGGGGGAGAAAAGAAGAATGGCTTGCGTAAGATGAACGGTTTGTTTGTTGCAGAGAAAAGCGAGGCTGGGAAACTGAAGTCAATCGTTGGTTGATCCGGCGCCAGTTGGGCGGCGCAGCACATCCCGATCCACGGTTCGTCGCAATGCTTCTTCTCGTTTCAATTTACCTATCCTTCTAGAACATTTTACACCATTTCTATCTACGCACACTGTCCAGCCGTCTCAACAATAATATTCATTCATTAACGGGTCATTAGGGTATCCATCAGATCATAACTGGAATTCGCCCGCTTTCCTTGCAGGATTCTCGCAGACGCCTCCCTCATACACCGTAGAAGTAGACTCATCATCAAAAATCAAAAAAGAAAAAAAGCACAAAATAGATACAAGAAGGTATTGGTATCATCACCGCACATGGTAACTCGGCTTCCGCTGCTTGTTTACCACCGGTGGCTCGTCCACTGGATACGGCGGTCGAAGTTTCCCACTCAAACTTCCACTGTGACTGTGTCCCGGGCTGGTCGTTGTCGGCATCGGCATCGGAATACCCCCCAGTTCACTGGGATACTCAGAAGGATAAGGAATCGGTGTCTTGGGAGGCACCGGCGGAGGCATCCCATCGTGGCCATGCCCGGTGCTGGGTCGAGAGGACCCGTGCGTCCGTGAGCTAGGCCGACTGACCTCGCCAGCCCCCGGACTGGCCAGGTCGCCTGATGTCCGCCCCGGTGATGGTAGCACAGTATCCTGTGGCGTGGGGTGCGCTGGCAGTGAGTCCTCTGTTGTGATATAAGGCACAAAGTCACCCGGCAGCTCAGCTGGTAGCTCCACGGCCATCGGGTGCGATGGCGGCGGCACCGACAGTACTGGACTGTGCATGATAGACGAGGTCCCATCGTCGACCTGACCCGCCGCCGCATGGTCAGCCAGCCGGCGGTGTTGGCGCTCAATTTTGGCGAACTTGACACCGGCATCCAGGATCTGGTGCTTCACCTCCGGTCGCGTCAGGTAACGCCGTGTGTTGGTGCTGATGTCTGCCAGCCGGTTCCATTCATTCATGCCAAACTCGCCCACGCCCACCTCGACGTTCAGCCGGTAGTAGTTGTCCTTGCTCACATTGCGCTTAGCTAGATGGTCGCGCAGCATCGCCAAATGAATATCCTCGCAACCCTCGATCTTGGCGATCAGACGTCGACGGGCTTCTGCGAATGTGCCCAGGGCATCCCCAAAGAAGTCCTCCCACCACTCGTGTTGCCGATTGTTGGTGCCTGGTGGGCGCTTGCCAGTGCCCACGCTGACAAACACCCCGATTTCGCGACCGGGCCACTCATTCATAACCGCTTCATCCAGCGCCTGCGGCGAGGGGTTGTAGGTACCGGCACCTTCATCGATGAAGACGTGCTGTCCAATCTGAATGGGCTTGAAGGCTAGCCCAGTGGCCGAAGTGGCACGACCAGCCTGCCAGACAGTGCAGTTGAACTCGGGCGGGGGTTCTTTGCGCGAATCGTAGGATCGGAGGAGGACGGTCGAGCCGTTCCGGGACGTTGTACCTTTGTAGAGTGCAGTCACAGCACTAATCAGTCAGCACAGAGTCACAAAGAAAGGAGCCAAGCAATAAAAAGTTTAAAGAAGGCAAGACAGCAATAAAGAATAAACATACGTTTTCGTCCGATACTCCCGGTTATCATACAACAGCGCATCCGGATTTCCCCAGCGCAAACCGTTCACAAATGTCGAATTCCGCTGACTAGCATGACCCGACGAATGAGAGCCAGTAGTACTGAAGCTAGCGCGACTGCCCGAGCGCTGGGGCACCGACATGGAGTTGGGACTAAAAGGGGCACTGGCCAGCGAATTGCGCGCCGACGGGCTCAAATCGTTACCCTCCGCTTCGAAGACGGTATGTTCGCGGACGCATTCGCGGATGGCTTCTTCCAGCTTGGAAGCCTTAAACAGGGTTTTGTGGAAAGGAATGCCGGCGAATGTCTTGTCGGTTTCGAACACGCGGCGGGTCATGCGGACGTAGACATCTTTGCAGGTCTCGAGATCCAGGCGTAGCCGGCCCAGCATGAGGGCGATCAAGCCGCCGGTTCCAGTGCCGACGATGAGGTCGAAGTGGTCACAGGGTTTAGGGATTTCATCGCGACGAGGAGCTTTGCCTTCGCATTCGACGTAGACGCGGTACATGAGTTCTTGGAGGATGATAAGCATGGAGTAACCACGGACGCCGCCACCATCTGCCATTCACGTGTTAGGTTAGTGGGGGTTTCTTTATGAGCATCTAGAACAGATACTTACCGAGCGACAGGATCCGCAAAGGCGGACCCTTGGTGGTATCCTTGCGGCGGAGGTTGACGGAGTAATCCATGACCCCGCCGGGCGAGACGGATGAGGATGGATCGATGGGCTGATAGATGAAAAAGGCGAGGTGTTGTGAAGAGGTGCTATCGAGGATGATATGACCGGGATGTGAAGATACTTGAGATGGTGTGAGAAAAGAAGCGCCCGACAGAGTAGTAAGTAGTGGTAGCACGAAGGCAAGAAGATCTTTTGGCCTTTTGCGGGATGAAGAGAGAAACTGCGGGAAATGCAGGTGAGCGCTGCGCCACGGTCGGGCCCACGATGACATAAGGAAGCCCGCGTAGGGCAGTAATAGTGCATGTTCATTGGCTGCAAGTGGAACAAGCTGTGGCGGTGTTCCCACCAGGGCGGTGCCGGTTTCCCGTTTGGGCCGGAAGTTCGTATTCAATTCGGCATTTTACCGATGCCGAATTACCCTTCCAGGCACCACTGTTTTCTCTTCTTGCATGATATCATGACAAAGACTGCAGATACCCTCACTTTCTTTGAGTTGTTTGTTCTATCACACCGTAATTTGTTGGTGCTACTAGCTGTATCACACCGACAATGCAATGCATCAATCCTCGCCATATCAACTTAGTACTGGAATAGGTAACCAGCTCTACACAGCCCGAAATAGAAGCACAGCACCGTCCAGTCTCAGTACATCCATGGATCAATAAAGTCACATTCCCAACCCAAAGTTGACTTCCTCCCACTCCACTCCTCTTTATCTCTTCTACAGTGCTGGAGTGGTAGGCTTAACCTCTCCAATAAGTAAATCCCTCACCAACTTCAATCCCTCCCCGGCAAAAAGCACCATGTTCTTTTCTCTTTCCGCGGTTCCCGTCTCCACCTCCCTTGTCACCGTTCCAGACGGCGTCGATACTGCGAGCGCCACATATCCACTGCATAACTACGTATCAGCACACTTTGCATCATCCTATACGACGACCCTTTCTCCGATATATTAGAATATTATAGTAGAGATCGGTTGACTCACGGGGTCCGATTCCTGCTCGTCCCACCTGTCGGTCCTGCCGTGCCACTCTCACAAACGGTATATGTAGATTTCAGTGTGCCGCGCACATTTTCCGCGATCCCCGCCACTATTTCTGGGGTCGGGCCACTGTAATTCTCTAGATGCTGAGGGGTCCAGCCGGTGTAGGTAATGCGGGAGTCGAGGGTGTATACCTAATCCTGTTAGCCATGGGGAGGTGACGTGCCCAGCAAAAGGTAAGTACCGTCAGCCCGCCTTTGTAGATGCTGGATGCGTCTGGGGCTGAGAGGAGACAGGCAGAAATGAGGCCTCCAGATGCCTATATAATTGATAGCCTTGGTCAGTTGTGAAGGGACCACGGTGGGGTAAGCGGAGGGAGGGGTACAGTTTCAGCGACGGAAATGGTCTCTTTGCGGGTGCGGAGGAGGTTGAAGACTTCTTCGATAAGGGGGCGGAGACTGGATGGAGGGAATTCAGACATCGTGATGTTACTGAAGGGGGAGGACTGTAGGTGAGGGGGTGGTTGACGTTGAGGTTGATGAGGGGAGAAGCAGAAGTGGTGAGGAGTAAATCGTCTAGTAGTCGGTACGTCATCGCCAATCAGATTCTATCGCTAAGAAATATCCATAGTATCCTACATCTATATATCTACCCTCTTAAATGTCCATCAGTTGGTCAATCCCGGCCAATCTGTACTTATCAGTCACACAAGAACTCTCAGATGGTAGAACAGTAGCACACTCACCATAAACCGTCCGTTCCTTAACCCTCCTTGCTACCACCACCGCATCTCCAACCCGCACCGTCCGGCCATCCGACCCTCCATCCAAAAACCCATATCGACCAAACACTGGACTGAACTTGGCGCCCTTATCGACTCGGCGATCCTTCATCAACTTCTTTAGCACAGTCCCTGACTCGCCCGTACCCATCTTCCCCGTCGTATAATCAACATTAAGACTCTGACACCGTATACAATTGGCCGTGAGCAATAGCTTCGCCGAACCAGGCTCTCCAATCTGCACTTCAGCCCAGAAGTCCTCTTCAAAGGCCGTCTCTGCGCCAGATATGACAATGTTCGGCCGGGCCTTGGTAACATCCATTTCCTCATTGCCAGCTAACCGTGCAGAGACATCCTCGACTGAAGTGCGCGACACAATCAGATATGGCGCCGTATCAGCAAAAGTAATCTGTTCTTCCTTCTTATTCTGGCGTCCAGCCCCATACCAAACCACAGCTCCTGCTGCCCCTGTTGCTCCTATACTCCCCAGTATTCCCATACTCATACCTACCCAAGACAACAAAATCATCACACCCACCAGCCCTGTTCCTAGACCTAGCACCCCGTCCCTCCACCACCACCCATGTATGCCTCTATGCGCCGCACTCTTCTCCGGCGCAAAACTTCCCAAAACACCTCTATAATTCCCGCCCAAATAGACAAGCACCACCCGATATCCAAAACACTCACTAAACCACCCGTTATACTCCTCTCTCATGATATACCCCTTTGTCGGACTCTGGTGCATGACGACTTCTACCTCCTCTAACCCCGCCGTATCGGGTATCAGCGGTACCTCCAACTTCCGCTGGGACTGGGATTGATCAGCAGCAGGAGGACGATATGTGACCACTATCCTGCTGGACTCAGACCCTGATGCTTTCTTGTCATCATCACTGTGAATGATATCGGTATAGAAAAGCGACATTTCCGGGAAATGAGGCACATGCATATTCTTGTATTCGCCATTGGGAAGGACTTTGAGGAGCATATAATGGCGGTCATAGGGGAAGCCGGTTCGAGTGAAAGTTGCGTTGGAGATGGGAACGCCTTGAAGGGATTTGATGGGGTAGGTGTAGAGCTTTTGGTTTATTGTTGTTAGTATTACTACCATTGATATTGGTATACGGGCATGGATGTGGGGGATGATGTACTTGACTGATGTGCATGGTGATTTGGTGTTAAGAAGAAGTAGTATTATAGTAAATATATGGTATATCTGAATATGTATGAATTCATACGAGAGTCAGACAGAAAGGAAGAAGGGATACAGGGTCAGGATGAATGACTGACTGAGTGATGCATTCCGCGGGAATTATTAGCCAAAGCAAGCTAGCTCCATGCGGAGATAAGCCGGGGAATCCAGACTCGGAGGGGAAAATGACTCCAACTTGCTTGTCCTATCGGCGCTTTTTTCTTATCGGCGGGTCTCTCCTTCCCCGTCTTGCTTTTGTCTCCGCACGGGTTTCCCTTCTTCCCCGACTCTCTCCGAATTCCATTACTCCCTCTTACTTAGTAAAAGACCCCTGTTATGATGTGTTGAACATTTTGATTTCACTGTACAGACATGCATTCGTAAATTAAACATAACCATGATCATTTCCCCCACCTCTCCTACTCATCCTTAGCCCAAGGCAGACTAAATGTTCCCGCCCAGTCCTCCACCTCCTGCCGCAGGAGCACAATCTCCGGAATCTCCTCGCCCTCGCGCACATATTCCAAGAAAGCCTTGACGGTGTTCGGGTTCTTCACACCCTTTGCAGCCGCGCTCTCCTTGGCTGCCTTGTCCAGCTTCTGTGTAATGATCACCGCCCGGTCCACAATGTCTGCGACGCGGCGGAAGTCCTCCGGCTGGAAGCCTCGCGTCGTCATGGCCGGCGTGCCCAGACGTAGACCACCGGGCTTCAGAGCCGACTTGTCACCTGGCACTGTGTTCTTGTTGCTGGCCACACCGCACAGCTCCAGCACCCGCTCGACGCGCGCGCCGTCCACCCCGCGGTTCTTCAGGTCCACCAGCACCAGGTGGTTGTCGGTGCCGCCAGAAACGATGTTGTATCCCAGACCTCCGTTGCTAAGCGGGCTGCCAAGACGGTCTGCCAGGGCCTTCGCATTGGCCAGCACTGTCTGCTGGTAGGTCTTGAACTCAGGCGACTGCGCCTGCTTCAGCGCCACAGCCAAGGCGGTGATAGTGTGGTTGTGGGGGCCACCCTGGTGACCTGGGAACACGGACGCGTTGATCGGGCCCTCCAGGTCATACATCTCTGGGTTGACCTTCTTGTCCGTCCGGCGGACACCCTTGCGGAAGAAGATCATCGCGCCGCGGGGACCCCGCAGCGACTTGTGGGTCGTGGTAGTCACCACATCTGAGTGGGCGAAGGGCGACGGGAGGACGTCCGCAGCCACGAGACCGGAGATGTGAGCCATGTCGCTCAGCAAGTATGCGCCGGCGGCGTCTGCGATCTGGCGCATGCGAGGGTAGTCAATCAAGCGGCTGTAGGCCGAGGTACCGGCGATGATGAGCTTGGGGCGGTAGAGAAGCGCCTGCTTCTCCAGGGCGTCGTAGTCAATGAGACCGGTAGACTCATCTAGCCGGTAGGGCAGCGTTTCGAAGTACTTCGAGATGAACGAAATCTTCTTGGTGGGGGTCTGGTAGCCGTGAGACAAGTGACCGCCATGGGGCAGGTCCAGGCCCATCAAGCGGTCGTGGGTGTTGAGGATGGCGGAAATGGCGTAAAGGTTAGCGGGCGAGCCGGACAGCGCTGTGCTGGTCAGTATAGTTGTCGCACGCCAATGTCACTATAGAAGTCTCACGTTGCACGTTCACACCCCATTCTTCGGGGTTAAGGCCAAAGGTCTCGAGCGCACGCTGCTGGCATAGCCGTTCAGAGGCGTCAATGTGCTCGTTTCCACCATAGTATCTAGCACCGGGGTATCCCTCCGAGTATTTATCTGTTGTCGCGTCAGCTTCTGCTGCCCCCAGGATCGAATGATGGAACTTGACTGACTTTGCATGACACTGCCCAGTGCATCGAGGACAGCTTGTGATGTGAAGTTCTCGGAGGGGATGAGGTTGATGAAATGTTGCTGACGTTTTTTCTCCTAATCCTGGGGTGAGTGGATATACCAATTGCACTTGAAGAATTGGTAGTCCTACCTTCTGGAGAATGTCATAGATGGCGGGGTCGGACTCCTCTAGGGGTGCGGAGAGCAGCTGGAGACGGTAGTTAGCGGGTATGGTACGATAAAGATATGTAATGACATCAGGCGACCCGGAAGCTGCTGCATTGCATGAATTCCGCACAATGAGGGAACACATACAGTCTGCTGTCCTTCACGCGTCGAGGAGGACACGCTGCGGCCTTGTCCCGGCAGGCGCAAAGGAGCAACCACCGCAGGACGAAGCTGGAGAGGGATGGCAGTCGACCGAATAGCGGAGCTTGCCGTGCGCGGGATCAGGCGCGAGGCCTGACGTCCACAGCGACTCAACATGATGCAGAATTTGTGATGTACAACGGGATCAGATTGAGAGAAGGGAAGAGGAGGCAATGGAGAAGATAAAAGAAGAAAAGAAGAGGAGGGAACGAGGGACCCAGCGGACGAAGACGCAAGGAATGCGCGGTGATGGTATCAGCTCTCCGGCGCTGATAACGAGCTTGCCCGACTGGCCGCCAGTTGCCCGCGGGAAGCACCTGACTCTAGCCCCAATCGGGTTTAGCATCTCCGAGGGGCCCGTGCGTCCGGGAGGAGTAGATAATCCGGTTCCGGGCTCGCTTGCGGGAATCCTCGCTTCCCTCCTTTCATTTTGTTTGTGTTTTTCTCCCTCTTCTCTTCTTCTTCTTTTCTTTTTCCTTTCTTCATCACACAACTAAATCCAAGATGAAGAAGGGCGTTTACGCTTGGCAGTTCTCGTGGATGGTCTGGTCTCGATCAGGCTAACCCGGGCGATGCTGACATGTCCCCGCTCTCACCATCCATTAGGGACAATTTGAACCATCCGATTGGAATCGTGTTTGTGTGTGTCTTCTGAAATGATGTGATCCACAGCTATACATGGCTGATAGGTGATAAAGAGATGGCTGGGACATGGGATGAAGTGTTTTTTTTTCTCATAATATCTATAGTGGTTATGATAGACCGTGTATAGTTTATGTGATAGTCAGGGACTACTTCCAAACTAATGAATGCAAGTTGTCAAGAAAAACATCGATGATCACGATCTAGAACTGTTTATCCACTAAAACTATACTCCGTTCTACTAAGTACTCCGTTTCCTCGTAGCGAGGCTCTCACATTGACCTTCAGCTGCAAACTCTAGCACTGTCGAGCAGGATGATCCTGAGATTTGGCGACTTATGAATAGAAACCGGATATGGACCTATGACTGAAGGGGGCAATGATTCTCAGGAGTCATTAAACCTTAGTGAACAACACCCGGTTCCTGACCCAAAGACAACTGGTAGCCACAAAAAGAAAGACGGTGAAGGGGGGAAAATACAGAACAAGACAGACCCAAGCAAAACTAACAGATCGACTTATGATGCCAACAGCATCCAGACCCTGAGAGAAAGGCAGTGAAGCACTCATTAATTGGTGATGTTTCACCATTGCCAGTTGCCCGCTGGGTTCCTGCAGCCCGAAATTGAACGTGGGGAACTTCCAGGTGGTAACGGTATGGTCACTAGGGGGAAAGAATACCCCGGAGAAAGGGTAGAAGATAGGAGAAATAATAGAAGACACTAATTCACTGTATGTGTATTGTTGGTAATGGCCCGACTGTGGACGGACAGCACTAGACTGGAAGGAGCGATGGTGGCTGCCCCCTCTTCGCTCCTTCCTTTTACTCTGTATTGTTATTTATATTAATATCGGGATCGGCCCGCTGGTTCGCCTCCTTTTCTCTCTCTCTCTTTCTCTCTCTCGTTCACTCTTTTCTTCCCTCCACTCACTCGCTGTTTCAGCTCTTCCGGTTCTTCAACCGAGTACATTCTTTTTACACGAACACAGTCAATCCCTCCCAAGACTACAGTCTTTACAAACGAGAAAAGAGATCCTATCTCTCCGTCAGTCCTTCGACGTCATCTATATATCCAATTTCTACACAAAAATCCAAACAAAGCACCTTCAATTCCACCCACATCCATCAAAATGCGTGTCGCTTCCGCTGCTGTCGTTGCCTCCCTGGCTGCCGGTGCCATTGCTACCGAGTACAAGACCGTCTATGTCACCGAGTACACCACCGTTTGCCCTAAGGCCACTTCTCTGGCCACTGGTCCTGGTGCCGGTTCTGGCTCGGGTGCCCAGACTACCCCGGTTGCTGCTCAGGTACGACATTTTCACCCTCCCTGAATTTTCCGCCTCAATCAGCATCAACTGACTTCATTCGATATAGCCTACCACTGTCACCATCTCCGGCACCCCTTACACCTACTCCACTCCATTGGTTACCTCGACTGTGACCCACTGTGACAAGTGGTATGTTCTCGGCTCCTTCCGCGAAGATCACTATCCGAATAACCTCAAACTGACTGATTTGATATCAACAGCTCCGCTACTGCCGTCCCTGCCACCTCCACCCCCGAAGGTGCCGCTGCTGTCGGTACCGGTGCCTCCCCCAGTGAGGCTCCCGGCTCTGGCTCCGGCTCTGGCTCTGGCGCTTCCCCCAGCGAGGGTGCCTCTCCTAGCGGTGCCGCCGCTGGCTCTGGCTCCGGCTCTTCCCCCAGCGGCGCCGCTGCTGTCGGTACCGGTCCCTCCCCCAGTGAGGCCGCCTCTGGATCCGGCTCTGGATCCGGTGCTTCTCCTAGCGGTGCCTCCGCCGGCTCTGGCTCTGGCTCCGGCTCCGGCTCCTCCCCCAGCGGTGCTGCCGCTGGTTCCGGAGCTGGTTCCCCCGGTGCTTCCGCTGGTCCCAGCGGAGCCGGTGCCATTGGAATCGGCGCCACCACCCCAGTCGTCTCTTACACCCCGGTCCCCACCCCTAGTGGCTTCCACCCCTCTTCTCGCCCTCTGATCCCCAGCAGCAAGCCCGCCTCCTCCAAGCTCGTTGCTTCCTCCAGCGCCACCCCCGCTGCCTCTAGCCCCGCCCCTGCTAGCTCTTCCAGCTCCAGCTCCAGCTCCAGCTCCGGCTCCTCTGCTACCTCCCCCGAGGGTGTCTCCGCCGCTGGCACTGGCTCTGGCTCTGCCACCACTCCCTCCGCCCCTGTCTTCACTGGCGCCGCTACCCGCGCCGCGGCCGGTGCTGGTGCCGGATTGGCCTCCGTCTTCGCTCTCGTCGCCTTCCTTCTGTAAATGAGTTGACTTGAGTGTGTGTGTGAATAGAATCAGAGCTATAGAGGCATATAGAAGGTCCCTCTTGACTTTCGGGACTTCTATCTATACCATGCGAGAATCTACTGGATACTAGCGAATCAGTGGAGGTAAATGATCGGATGGGTGGTTTCTTTTGTTTGTGTCGATACTTTTTACCTTTTTTTTTTCTTTTACGACTCGACTGACAAATAACTTATTGTGTGCTTTATACCTTATTGGAATCTTCTGACGTCTATGGTTTTTTTACTCTTCTTTTATTCATATTCATCTACGGCTTCGCATCGCTTGGCTTCCGGTTGTTCATGTCCTCGATTTTTTATTGTCTATAACTTTAATGTTTTGAGTCACGTCTCTGAAGCGATTCAGATACAGATACATACACATGTTCACTTATAATATTTGCGTATATTCGTTCAACAGATACATAAATCTCGGCCGTGCATTGACGAATACAATCGAGTCAATGGTAGAAGCTTCACACACCCGGCATCCAACTCGGCAGTTGCAGCCATATATATCAACAAATGTCACCCGTACAGCTTTATACGTATCCAATGTCACATTATCCAACAAGTGATTACAGCTTCGCCCGTTCCTGCCGCTCAAAGTACTCCCGCACCCGTCGTCGTGCCTCATCCACAACCTCGGCATCTTCCACCGTCGGCGGCACATTCACCGGCGCCTCGTACTCCCCGCGCACTGCATGCTCAACCAGCTCCCGCAGCACCCGGCGTAGCGTCTTCCCACTGCGCGTCTTCGGGATCATTCCCCGGCCCTGGATCATGCCTCCCAGGGACGCGATTGCCCCGATCTGGTCGCGCACCAGCCCGTTCACCTCCTGGAACAATTCCGCTGCAGGTTTCGCGGGGATGGGCCCGGTCGCGGTCCGTGGCTGAATGAACGCGAACGGGAGGTGGCCCTTCAGCGGGTCCGGGAGGCCAACCACGCTGGCTTCGCCAATTTGCGGGTGCGAGAGGATTGCTTGCTCGATGGCGCCTTTCATAGAAGTGTTAGCCTGTACCTACTCTCCCTACGTAGATTTAGTGATGCGACGTCGAGACTTACCCGTACTGAAGCGATGCGCCGCAACGTTGATGATGTCGTCGGATCGTGCCATGATATGTATATATCCGTCTTTATCGATCATCCCTGCGTCTCCGGTGTCGAGCCATTGTCCCTTGAATCTACGTAGATAACTCCGGTAAAATCGATCGTCGTCGTTGAAAAGTTGCGTGAATGCGGTGGGCGCCAGTGGAATGCCCAGGACAATATTCCCCATCGTGCCCGGAGGCAACGGTTTTCCCTCGTCATTGACTACGCGCACGTCAAATCCAGGCATGGGCAGACCTGCAGAGCCTGGTCGAATGGCCAATGGCTTCACTGCGTCAGTATGGCGCGAGGACGGCTCCATTGCCGCAGCGCTTCTTAGTGCCAAGCCAGATATGGGAGATCCTGACTCTGATGACCACCAATTGTCCACCACCTTTGCACCGGGAGCAGCATATTGGCTCAGAAGTTCTTGGTAGGCTTGGACAATGCTGGGTTCACTCCTTTCTCCCGCAAGAAACAGTGCGCGAAAGTGTTTGAGACCGCCTCGCTGGGCCACCTCTTTAAAGCAGCGATTATTGGGATCATCCTTGCGGATGGCCCGCATGGCTGTGGGTGCCGTGAACAACACATGGGCCTTATGCTCTTCGATAATCCGCCAGAAGGTGCCCGCGTCCGGCGTTCCCACCGGTTTTCCTTCGAAAAGGATTGTCGTTGCTCCGACCAAGAGTGGCCCATACAAGATGTATGAATGACCGACCACCCATCCAATGTCAGAGGCGCAGAAGATGACATCTCCCGGGCCTTGTATATCGAATAGGTGTTTCATTGACAGCTGGAGTCCTACTGCATGCCCACCGGCCTCGCGAAACACGCCTGTGGGAGAGCCCGTGGTGCCTTGGGATTGGTTCTCGAGTCAGTTTTACCCAAGGGCCTCATTGACGATCGGGGTCATACCACTAGTATAGATGATATAGAGTCCATCTGTGCTCTTCACGGGTACCGGCTCGGCCCTGATGCCACGCATGCGTGCGCTTTTTACCAGTCGTTGCCAGTTACGTTGTCCACCTAACTTATCGGGGTTGTTCCATCGCAGCTGATCCCTCTGCCACACGATCACTTTCTCTGGCTTGAATCGACTCAGCACGATAGCACCCTCAACCAACGGTCGGTAGGAGATAGGACCTTTCGACCCTTCGATACCGCACGACGCCGTCATGACGACGCGTGGCTTGGCCGCTTCGATGCGTTGTGCGAGCGACTTGGCTGCAAAACCGCCAAAGACTGCGGCATGAATAGCACCTAAGCGTGCGATCGCCAAAGCAGCAATGAGTGCCGCAGGAATCATAGGCACTGCCGATCGTTAAATTCTGGTTCATTTATCTTGGTCGAGGATGCTTCAGAATTGAGTCTTACTGTAGATAATGACGACGTCGCCCTTTCGCACACCCTCTTCCCTGAGCACGCCTGCTAGAACTTCGACTTCGTCCAATAGCTGTTTGTATGTATATTTCTCCTTCGTCCCCGTCACCGGGGACTCCCAGATGATAGCAATATTATCTCCATTTCCCGAATGGACATGCCGATCGACACAGTTGTAGGTGGTCGAGATCTCTCCGTCCGGGAACCAGCTCCAGTGAGAATGACTGGAGCCATTGGGAGTTGTTTTCGTTTGCTGATTGATGGCACGTGATGGCGGTTTATGCCAGTACAGTTGTTCGGCCTGGCGAGACCAGAAGCCTTCTGGGTCGCGCAGGGAGATGTTGTGTACCAACTGTTGCGGGTGGAGTGACATCGTGGATCGAAAACGATGCTGGAAAAGGGAGGGGCCTCTCTTCGAAAGCGTCGAAGGGATAGGACCGAAACAAATAGTAACGGATGCAAAGCCGATGGAAGAGACAAGAAATGGACTGGCAGCAACACACGCCCACATGGCCAATATGAATAGGGAGCGGTGTCAGTTCTGGTGGGAGGATGAGGGTCCTCTTGCAGATACTGAGCAGTTAGTCCCTGTCACATTCCGCGGGATGGGTCAAGAATTGGACATGCTATCCGGGACCGCGCTGGTGTGCCGTGAGTCTAGGGGGTTTTAGCATGGACACCGGCGTTTAACGTGCAGGCTCGGGGATGTTTCGGTCTGTACTAGGGCGATGCACCGCCGAAGTGGCCACAGAGGGGAAGGGACACTTTGAACATGGTTTGTCTTCAATCCAGAGTGGCGTTCGCGGCGGCGCGAGCGCACCGAGACAACATGGACCGACAGGGATTCTACGGTGACAACCGAGGGGGGATGTGTTGTCGATCACCGAGGATGAGAAGGAGGGGAAGTGGCAGAGTAAAGGTGAGAGGGAGGAGACAAGACAAGAAGAGAGAGAGGGAAGATGAGGGGGAAGCAGACCAAAAGGTGGGGATGACAAGGAAGGGAGGTGAACCAAGTGGTCAATCTCCCTTCCCAGAGACCCACACCATCTTTCTCCGCTTTATGGAGACACTTTCTCAACATGTGCTACTGCAGCAAAACCAGAATCAATTCCTTGGGAAAGCGAAAACAATGGTACAGTACAGTTGGAGTATCTACTGGTATCTACCAGAAATGAGCGAAAATCCTGAACGAAGAGACTTTAACCACTGGTAGTACAGAACTTACTCCAATGTTGACTAGTGACCAGTTGAGTTAGACAGCCTCAAGAATGAGACCTCATGCATACAGTAGTAGTATCTAGCAGTATCAGACGCGATAACCGAGCTGTGACAATCTTAGTTAGCATCATTTACCTCACGGGACAGTTCGTATTCAGGAAAAAGGAATACATTTGATGCCTGCATTGGAACATCCTCACTGGTCAGCTGGTTTCAGCTAGCTTCAGCTGATATGTATACTACCACCTTTAGTTAGTATAGGTATTCAATTACCGATTGCTCAACCTACAAATGTCAAGATACTAGCATAATCACAGTACTAGTATAACTCATTAGTTACTATCTGGGTCTCTCCCCGCATACGGAACCATCCTCAACATCAGCTGGTGTGACGGAAATAGAATAGTATATTAGGTTATCGAAGGGATCCATCTTTCTTTTTTTTAACATCTTTGTGATTCTTTTGTGGTAATGCGAATGCATCGAAATTTCACAACTCAAAAGCTCAGCCGTAGGGTATCATATCGCAATGCCTGCTAAACGGTCGACTGCCATCCTCGCTCTACCACACGAGTCGTTCCATCATCTACCGCCGCCCCTCATCGCTTCCTCCGACTCATCGCTCTCCATTGCCTCGACCAGCTGTCCCTCTTGCCTCCTGGCCCTTCATGCGCCATTCATATATGCGGAAGGTTGGGCGCTATGCCGACGGGCGCCGGACAACCAAAGCCAAGAAGAAAACGAAATAATAAAAAAAAAAAAAAAAAAATTAACAAACAAGAACAGAAGGTGCGCATCGTTCTATGGTCCCAGCAGCTCCGGAATCCCCTGTCCTTTGAAACATAAGATCCCCCATTGTAGCCGAAACACCCTGCCATGGACGCGAAAGAAAAACCCAGCCCCCGGGCACATATAATACTATTAATAGACAAGCATGGTTCATGCATCAAGCACAATCGCTGACCCGCCCTCGCATCTGTTCGGATTGGGCACCTGCGAGGATTGGGGACCGAGAGGACGAGCGTCAACGAAACAATAAACAGGTCGAAAGTTGTACGTTGCGTAAAGATCTTGCTGGACGGCGCATTGTCGACCAACCGGTATGAACATGGGGAAGATGCCGCCCCTGGTCCGAACCTCCACGAGGTCATATAAGAGAAGTATGAGATAGAGAGGCCAGGAGCAGACGTAGGTTGGTGAGAGGGAAAAAGAGATAAGAATGCGAAAGATTATCAGATCACTGACTGATCGAGAAATATAGGTGTGTGATCCTTGCAGCAGCAGAAGCAGCAGGGCCAGCATCTAGGAGCCGGGAAAGGAATCAATCAGCCAGCTGAACGGGTCGTGCGGAGCCAACTATTCACAGAATCGTGCACTTGAAGGGGCGGCGATGGCTTCCTGTACGGTCGGGCCGGAACGATCTGGGATATTCGGGACCAGGATCACGCCCGGCACCCAAACCGGTCGTTCGTCTATCCTGAGATCGCCCTTGCTGTTGCTGACGCTGCTGTCGCAACATGCGGACCACGTCATAAAAGGCCTTCTCCACATTAATGCAGTTCTTTGCGGAAGCCTCGACGAATTCGCAACCAAGATCCTTGGCGAGCGCCTGTCCCTCCTGAGCCGAAACGGCGCGCTCAACGGCCTTGTCGCTTTTGTTACCGACCAACATGACCGGCACCGGAAGCGGGGGGCCCGAAGGCGTGTGAATCGGGGATCCCAGATAACTGGCTCCCGAGGGCGATCCGGAGTTGGCCGATTCCTTGACCATCTTGATCTGATTGTAAAACTTCTGTATGCGGGAGAACGAAGCTCTCGAGGTGATGCTGTAAACGAGGACGAACCCTTCGCCGTCACGGATCCATTGGTCTCTCAGCGCAGTATATTCCTCCTGACCTGCTGTGTCCAGTACTTCCAACATGCACGACTGTTGATCAATCACGACTTGTTTACGATACGAGTCTTCGATGGTCGGATCATAGGTTTCAACGAAATGGTTTAGACAAAGCTGTTGGGAAAGACCAAGGTCCAAAGATCAGTTGTCGGGACACCAGTGCGGGCGGGTACGCGAAGGGCTAACCTGAATTGTGAGGGCTGTCTTTCCGACACCACCATCCCCTAGCACCACCAATTTGTACAATGTCATTTTCCCCGACATGGTGAATGATTATTCTACCAGAATGGTAGGGTGATAGGTTGAGAAATAATTGGGTGTGTCACTGGGGAACAACCGGGGGTGGGTAAAGACCACAGGAGTGAAAAGAGGAAGAGAGGGAAAGAAAAGAAAAGCAAAGAGATCTATGAAGGCTCCACGGTGAGCACGGACGCGGGAACGGAGCGTTTCGATTCGCGAAACGCTGGGGTCCTAAGGAGGACGGCTATTTGGGTAGTGCGGTTAGCCACCGGAATCCATTGCCTTTGGACCCCCAGTCCAAGCTCACCAGTCCACACCGGAAGCGACAGGAGCAGCCAGAGGAGGGGGTTAAGGGAGGGGAAAATACGTACCTAAAACGCTCTGGGAAGAGGGTGGAAATTAAGGGAGAAAAAGAGTGAGGGAGAAAGGTGTGAACGAAGAGCGATGAAGAAGTCGCCGAATTCTCGTTACTGCGACCTTTGTAGCAATGGAGGGGGGAAAAGCAACCAAAGATTGGAAGAGAATGTGGTGAAGGAGAACCTCTTGATTTGGCTCGAGGACTCTCAAATAAGCGGCCACCCACAGCTGCAGAATGGCACAAGCGGGCGGAGTTCAATTAGTGAGCTGGCCCGGAACTCCGCGTGAACGTAAGAAAATAAGATGAACGGGGCTTGCCCGAGCTTCGAGACACACAGGAAGGTTTGCCTCAAGGTAATTCTGCCACGTGAGGGGCGAGACGCAGACAATGATCGCCAGCAGCGGATGTACTGAGAAAGTATCCGCAGGCTGCAAAAGGTGACTTTTTTTTCGGGGGG